GCTGACTTCCCGCCTATGGTGGAGGGGAGGCTGGACCCAATGATCTCTCAAGGTCCCTTTTAGCCCCTAATATCTATGACATCTATGAAAAATGAATTTTTTCATCTATCTCAGCACACCTGGTTTTCCCACAAATATAGTTCCTTCTTGGTGTCTCAGCATTGAAATTCTCACTATAATTATTACTCTTTTGAGGCCCAGAAGGAGAAATATTCTGTCTAGGACCATTGGCAGGTCTAAATTCTGGTGTCTTGTGAGTATTAACACTAGTAATATTTAGTTTTTATCAATAAGCAAACCAAGAATCAGGAGTTCCTTTTTCCAAGAGTTGAAGACAATAGTCCATCCTATGATATCAAGTCTTTTTGCTTTATGATATATAGAATAACTGTTTTAAGTATTTTTAGAATTTCTAAGTTTTTCTTTGCTTTTTAAATTTGTAAAATGAAATGACATCTTCAGCACAACAGTTTTCTTAGCATTATGTTGGGGCAGTAAATGTATAGCATCAACTAAGATGAGTCATACATTACTAAATAATCAGTCAACACATCCTGCGGCACAAAACCAGTGCAGATGTTTCCTGCCTATATATATTTTATTTTTATGAGCAACCTTAAAACACAAATGATGTGCACTTAAACTAGTATTTGGTTTCACCCAAGGGTATTTATACCTGCAGATTGGTTAAAGTGCATCTAATTACATGTAAACAAGAAACTGTGCATACACTTTTTCACAATTAGTGAAGAAAGTGGTCTAAACATTTGTTTTCTGTTTGACTTGAAGAGTTTATTGTCCTGCATTAGAGCCTAGGTATTAATCTGGATGTATTCAGTTCACATTTCATGGATCAGTCCTTCGTGACTACAGACTGTTGCCTTGTGATGAATGTGTCAGTATGGAACCTCAGCAATGTGACTGAATAAGAGAATAAACACCACTATTGGTGCTTACAGACATTGAAACCCGCCCCCCCCCCCAAAAAAAACCTGTGCTTTACTGGAAGGTGCAGTGTGTTAGTTGGACCCAGCTCTGCAGCATCTGTAAAGACTGGGTGCTTCAGGGGGGCTTTTTGGTGCTTTTAGCTACAGTTAATTCAATCACCTATTAGATAAAAGTGCCAAAAAAGCCCCACTAAAGCACCTGATATTTACAGATGTTGGGCGAGCTGGGTCCAACTAAGTTGCTGCCTCTTCTGGACATGTACGGGGCTTGGCATGAGAACGTACTGAGTTTAAAGTAAAGCACCATTTTTTTTCAACATCTGCAAGCACTCATTTTAAGGCTAAAAACACATGTCAAGTTTATCCTGGGTCTGATTGTCCCAGGCTTTGACTTGTATCAAAACAGGCACAAGATGGTCATTCACACAGGTACCTTGAATGGCAATTAATTCGAATAATCTCCCCCTCCCCAACCTCCTGACTTTCTGCATGTGTGTGTGGGGGGTGGGGGGGAGAGTGTCATCTTGTTATTTCATGAGTACTTAAAGTCAGGCAGTGGGTTTGTACCTCTGTAGATCCCAGAAGGAAAGGCTTTCCTTCCTCTCCCCATTTCACCCAGAAATCTAAGTAGCATCAGTCAGAGAGATGCAAATCTACAGCTCTTTAGGTTAGATCCCTACCTGGTGTAAACTGGAATAACTAAATATTGCTGAATTGATATATAACTCATGAAAATATGGTCCCAAATGTAAGTGATGAGATGGATTAAAGGGAGGTTTATTTCACTCATAAAATCTGTGAAACTACCAATGTTCTGCCATAGCATGCAGCAAGGCCTCTGCTTTTTCTCTAGCTCAGAACAAAAAGATACCCAGCGGGAGACTGTCAATCCTATTTGTCATGTAGAATCATGTGGCAGGATAGGTTTTGTTTTAGTTTGTCTTTCTTTTCTATCTTCATTATGGGGAAGGAACAGAAATGTATAATTTTTGTTTTATTTGTGCCAGGTAAGGAAGTTGGCATTTTGCCATTCATTTCTACTAGTAGAAAGAATAATAGTAATTTTGTTTTAAATACAGTATTTGTGTAGGCTTCTCAAATGAAATCCTCTGTAATAGGGTGGGGGAAGGTTTAGAAAAGACAGATCATGTTCCAAGCAGAGTGGGTTTTCTGGAAAAATTTCCAATGCCTTAAATAGAGCGTGATCTGATTTTGCCTGTTTATTTGACTTATATTTAGTAAACAAAACTAAAAAAGTACCCCCATGTTAATTTTATGTCCCAATAGCCACAAGTATTTGAACTGAAATATTTGGTTAGGTAAAAAATTAAATACAGCACACAATGTGGTTTATATGTTATAGTCAAACAAATTCAAAGCTTTATGTGGAAAGAAATTATTTTGTATTGGAATACTTGTAAAAATGTAAAGACAATACACAATAGCATACACTTCCCTTAAATTGTTTGTTTAGATTTAAGAAAAAAAATGAAGGAACTGAAAACTGTTGACACTAATTTTAGCACACCCAAAGAACTGTGCGTGATATGCCATGGTTGTCTACTCATCTACTTCAACAGAGTTTAACTCTTCCACTGAGGTCATGGCAGCACCTCCAGTTTCACTGTCACAATCTGGAGAATCACTTGCACCATTTATTAGTTCCATTGCACAATCAGATTGAGGCAAATTTGATTCAGAACTACTTGAACCACACTCTCTTTCACTAAAGAATGGTTTTACCAATGAGTCTATGGGCATAGGCAACTTATCATCACACTACATCTTCTTCACTAATTGTGCTTCTGACTGATTCTCCAGAAGCAAGGGATTTTGACCAATAGAAACAAGCTTAGCGGTGCATTCATTTGTTAGCCTATTTCTCTTTTTTTGTCTTGATTGAGCTGAAAGCCTTCCAGTTCTGTTCAGAAGAAGCTGCTGTTGGTGGAGTGCTTAGGATCCTTAGGACTACCCTGGACAACAGTCAGGTGTTACAGTATCTCTTCCACCGTGTGAGAGGAGACACATTCTCTGCTGCCCACCAAATGATGTCTTTGCTCCAAAGCTTTTCTTTTGTGTGGTACTCGGCAATGTCTGCCATCAGGGCTATTTCGTTGATGTTGGGGACATTCCTAGCTACTTCCATAATTGTATCAAGAGAAATAGATAATTCATCTTTTGATAAATTTTGTCCTCTGTGTTGAGGACCCAAAAGGTTCGCTGCCAGGTGAACTGGAAGAGAGCAAAACTCAGATCTCTTAGTAAACAATTGTTTGACTACTGCTTTTTTTGGAGAGAGGTGAAGAAGGCAAAAGCTAAATTAGATTTTCATTCAGTTGTCTGAATATCTCTGGAATATTTGAAAGGTTTTGTGCATCTCCCTAAAGTTTCTTGATAGCCACTGAAACTGGTAGCAGCTAATTGAATGCTACTTTAACTCAAACCCAGAACACATCGTTGTCAAGAATCTGCTTCCAAATGTTCACAGGAATAATCTGGGATAGTGCGTCACCTACTGAAGCACACCACAAACAGTTATTTGAGCACAGCAAGTTATGTAAACACTTTGTAGCCCAGCCCCATCTAGTTTCTCCTGGTAATAAAAATGCACTTTCCTTCCCCTGCTTCTCTTTCTATAATTTCTTCAGTCTGATTAGCAACGTGATTAATATTGAATACCTTCATAATCTCTCTCTAAGAGAGAATGTGATAAGTGATAACGTGACGGTAACTTATATGATGGGTGAATTAGTTTGTAATGTGCCTTCCAGTACTGATTTTCAGTTATGGAAAGAGGGGTACCACTGGCAAATATAGCTCAAGCTAATGTCTCATCTGTTTTTTCTTGATCTTCTGTTAACATTTTGTCCACAAAGCTTGATAAAAAGTTTGACTGTCTTGAACAGCTACTCATGGTGGATCGCATATTTGGTGACAGTGATCTTGAAAGTGGGGATCCTGCTGCTTCTTCCCCCAGACCTGGCAGCTCAACTTTTCGTTTTCCATTTTCTGCAAATCTGCTATTTCACTTGAGCTACAAAGTTCCTGCAACAAAATGGGGGAAAGATTTGCTTATTCTAGTCTGGCCTCATCCATCAGAAGGAGGAGGAGAAGCAGCAGGGAGCTTGCTCCCCCCCGCCCTGCCACTGCTGCTCAGTTGCCCTGGGACTGCAGAGCCAAAGGGAAGTATAGTCTGGCCTCTGCCATTGGCCAGAGGACTGAGCTTATTCTGCTGGGTTGAAATAGTTAACTATTTATCTATTATATAATTAAAAACAAAAATTATTGTTAAGCCTAAGCCACATTGGCTCTTTAGTGCAAGCAGAAAGGCAGAATACAAATATTTTAAATAAATAAATAACAGTTGCTTTAACAACTTTTATAATTATAATGTTTTAAAACAATATAGGTGCTAGTCTATACTGTGTGTTGTTTAACATACTCATTTGTTTACTTGCATAGGATTCCTGAAGTAGACTTTTCTCAGCTGATGTTGTTCCACCACTTTGTTGTATTAGCTTTCTATATATGGCTCGTACTCTTTCAGGACAGTTTCTACATGTTATTAAAAGTTTCTTCATTCTCGTTGTGTTGTTAGCATACTCCTGCCTGCAATATTTACATCGACCAACTTTGTTCCTTCCTTCAGTGGCTTGAATGTCACTATACTGGTGGCGCACACTAGTTTTTTTCTGATTAGGCTCTATTATGGCTATTTCAAGCCAAAAGCACTAAAAAACTAAAAGATCTTATGCAAGCACTTCCAACTCTCTCAAGTCAAGAAAAGAAATGAGACACTGCTGTGTGTTTGCTGAACTGAAAGTGAAAAAAAAAATAATCACAGTTTTGGTTTTGGTTTTGCTTTCACTTGCAGTCTGAGATGAAGTAAGAATTTTAGCTTTGGTTTTGATTTGACTTGCATAGCCAATTAGGTGAATTCATAACTTGATTTTTGGTTTGGATTATTATGTGAGTGTATTTACCCTCCTGTTTACAAATCAATAAAACATATATGTACTCTCTCTCACGCTTCCTAGGGATAATCACCTGAAAAACATTAATTACAACTTTGAGACTGCCAAGCTTGCCTAATATTGTATTGGCACCCATTCATTGTTACTAATTAATTTTCTGAAACAATGAATTCTTAGAAATGGCAAATTTCCCACAGAAAGATTAAGCACTGGAAAGTTTTCCACCCCACATTTCTGGTTCTGAATAGGGGAAGAAGCCAAGGACAAATCAGCAGAGAGATCCTCTGTTATTTCCTGTCCATTTCCCTCTCTCTCCATTGTTCTTGACAGCAAAGGAAGACAGACAAAGTACCAGGAACATGGCTTAACTAGGGCACAACTTTATTAAGTAACATGCCAGAAACTATTGGACAATAATTCACCCACTGTAGGTCATCCTTTCTATTGTAAGTTATTCCACCTGCCCTTCTCTCTGTTAACCTTGTCCCAGCACTGTTGGTGGGCTCCTATGGCCTTCCTGTCATAAGAGGGATAAAAGGAGGTTGTTGCTCTGAGTGAAGTTACCTTTCAATCCCATTCTCTACTTTTTAATCTGTTCCCAATCGATGCAGTGTCTTCAAAGTCAGTCACTAGGCATCATCTGTGGCTATGTCCTTGAAACATTAATAATTTGAAGCACTTTTCTATAGGTCAAGACACAGGTGGGAAACCACTGAGAGACTTAAAAAGGTGGTTGCCAAGAAACCAGAAAAGCCATCACTTTCAGTCTTCAAAGCCTGAAACTGTATGAATGGAATATTTTACTCTCTTTAAAAATATTTAAGAATTTGTTTGAATACATATGTTACAAATGATTGTGGCAGATTCATGATCTAATTACATTTTGATCTAATATCATGTTAATGCAATTTTAGATTATAATTAAGTAGATGATGATGACTTTCTTAATTGAGAGGAAGGAATTAAATAATTATTTTTGTATTACCTATTTATAATTTTGATATACATCTATAGGTGATAATCCAGTTACCTACTCCATAGATTAAAAATGACAGCATAAACATAGGACTGCGCCTAAATATCTTCATCGCACCCCTTGCCTTCCTCAGGCTCAGAGAAAGGAGGGGAGAAAAACAAAAACAGACTTTGAACCATGCTCAGTAGGTTAATAAGTCTAGCTTCTGGCAGATAAAAGAGGAACCCCTACTGAGAAAACTAGCCATCAACTTCTCTTATTTGCACTAAGGAAGGCCTAGTTTGAATATGCCCACTGATCTCTGCCGTTGCAATATGTCATGGGAGCAGGTGCAATTTCTCACTTAAATCCAAAACTATTTTGGGATGATTTTCAAGTTGACCTGTTTTTGAAAGTAAAGTATTAAATAAATATCTAATATCTAAGCCACTTTCAGGACTATATTCTCATTGCTTGGTAAAAATTTAATCTACATATATTTGTTAACAAGGGCAGACTGGGAGAGGGGGGCAGTACACTGGTGTACTTGCACCCACTTTTATTCCTGCTGCACCTAAAATTTAAAACCCAACTGCCTGGCAGTGGCAGCAGCATTTCTAGTCACTTGACTTCATGGATCATTATAATCTACATGATCCTTTTTAAACTCTTCATTCCACTGGTGTTAAGGACGTTCTCTTCTTTTTAATGGGCTTGATGTTCCACCAATAAGCTATCCTTTGTTCTGTAACTCTGCTGTCTGTTAGCTGCTCCTGGTAATGAAGATCCTATTGCTTAACTCATTCCAATCGAGTTATATTTGTGTTTGTTTCAGTCTTAAACTGAATAATACAGCCCTAGGCCCCTAGCATATTAGTCAAGCGAGTTGGGTTTTTTTTAACTGGAGAAAAATATGTGTTGTTTTATATGTAATGCTGCACCTCACTGTCTCTACCCATCTTTTCAAAATTCTAGATATATCCATGTTTATCAATAATATGTAAATGAAGTGCTCTATATAATTTTTGCTACTGTTAGTGGGCAGCTTAAGATATACACTGAAGTTTGAGACCTGGAATTCAATGATACTGAAGGCTGTTTGGAAAAGGTAGTTTTGCAAAAGCTAGAGTTGAAAATTTGATCCAAATCTGGGTTCAGATTTTGAACACTCCTGAAATTGTGTTCCGGTTTGAATCCATTCTTTTAGTTTCAGGTCTGTCTCTGTTTTTCTTTTCATGTTTTGTAGAAAATGGACTTCAAACTTCCTTCATAACAATCATGGCTATCCATAGGCCTGGTGATTTAGACCTACTGGTATAGTATCATCTAAATTAATTATCCAAGCGCTCTCCTTCAAAAAGCTGAAACCCTGCCTGTCCAGAATATGGTGGGCCTGCGCTGCTGTTCATTTGGTCTAGAAGCACCATAATCCAATCTGCTCAGATGGAGTGCTCTCATTTGTCATGACTTGATATTATCACGAATTCTTGGGGGCAGGAGGAAGTGGACTGATGGTAGTCCCAGTATCTGTAGGCCAGTCTTTTTATGGGGCTCCAACCGCCCCTTTACCCCATCCTAACCACATCAGAGGTACCTCAGCAGGAATATTCAGTGTCTCTGTCTCTCTTTAATTTTTGTGAGCTTTGTACAGCTCTAAGCTTTGGTGCAGGCTGTCTAGGAAGGGATAACTGCACCCAAGACTCAATAATGGCTGGACCTCGGGCATAACCTTGACCCAAGACAAAAATGAAAAATAGTGAGCTAACAAAACACAGTCCATAGCCTCCTGCCATCTTGAGGATGACACTCCCATCCCAATTACAATCTTCAGTTCTCTTCCCCTTTGACACCACTTAGTCAGGGCTATAACTCATGGGGCAAATCTCCTATTTTTATAGCAGTCTACATGTGCCAATCTTTTGTTCTGTTACAAATCTAGACCAGTTTAGTGAGCCAAACTTCTGCTATGGGTATAGACTGGTTTCCAATCACTTATATCAGTAACAGTGTAACATCTATACCAGGCCTTAGAGCTAAAGGAAAGTCTGCTTTGAACTCAGTCACAGGACCAGCATTTTTGGTCTGTCTTCAAACATTTGCTACTAGAGAAGAAAACTTCTTGTTATCCTATTTGACCTGAGCAGTTAGCTAAAATTAGAGTTCTGGAGGTTGTTTAGACTACAAGAAGCTGATGACAGTTAGGTATTTTATTGATGCGATCCTGAAAATGTTACAAAATCCTTTCATAGGGGTGGAGGAGAGACTTGGATAACAATCTTCAAATATCTGAAGGGTAGTTATATAGTAAGTGGTGATAGACTATTCTCTCTGGCCACAGGCAATAGGACAAAGAATGATGGTCTTAAATTGCAGCAAGGAAAATCTAGGTTGGATATTAGGAAGAACTTTCTCATTCTGAGGGTAGCTAAGCAGTGGATTGGCTATCTAGGGTGGTAGTGGACTCTCTATCTTTGTAAGTTATTAATAGCAGGTTATCCAAACACTTGTGTTGGATTCTTTAGATGCGGATGGTGCTGCCTTGAGCGTGCGGTTGAACTAGATGACCTCCTGAGATCCCTTGCAGCCATATTTTTATATGGCTTTGTAATTGGCAGAGACCCCTACAGTTTAAGGCATAAAGATACCTTGACTGCTTTTGGTTATATTCAGAATGAAAGGAAAATTTAGTCTAAGCTATGTAACACAGGGTGCAGACAGAAGTTGTTTGTCATGCAATTGGTCCCTTGAAAGTGCTCTACAGCCATGCCCTGACAGAAGTGCTCAGTTGTGGGACAAATTAACACTCATTTAATGAGGGTTCAGATAAAGGCACAGAGTGGAGTGCCTTCGTCAACTTCTATTTGTCCCTGCTTGGGAGCAGGGCTCAGCTGATACAGCCTAGACCAGGGATTTCCAACCTTTTTGAATGCGGGGCCAGATCATGAACTTTTTCTCACCCAGTGGGCTGGCCAAAGGACACCCCCCCCCCCATTAGGAAGCTGCTGAGGGGCTAGGGGAGGGACAAGGGGTGGGAATGAAAGTAAACAGTGTTTACTTTCATTTCCTGTTGCAGCACCTTGGGCCTCAGAAAACGGCTTGGCGGGCTGCATGGCGGCCCGCGGGCAGTATGTTGGACAAGCCTGACCTAGACCCACCTCCAGTGCTGTCTTCAGGATGGGAGGGGCAAAAGGAGGGGGAGAGCTTCATCTGGGGTTTGCCCAGCCTGTGCTGGAGGGTGGCTCCAATCCACTTGCCCCACCCTCAAGTACATGCTGGGCAAACCCCAGATGGAGCTCCTTCTCCTCCCCACCCCAATCTTGAAGACAGCACTGGAGGTGGAAGTGGGGTGGGGGGGTGCTAGGTGAGAGACAGGCAAATAGCAAATGTCTGTTGGGTTGTGGAGGACCTTTAACTAATGGTGCTTTCTGTGGTGTGCCAAGAGATACAGCAGGGAGTTTCATATCTGTCAGCACCCTTACATAGTTTCTCTAGACTTTAAATCACAAAGGCTGGCTTTTCATTCATTACTTTCCTGAATAATCTTCTGCATTCCTAATGGGTCTAGATCCTATGTCAGTTTACATGTCCAAATGGCATTTACTCAGCTGTACAAATGGTGTTTTGGGCACTCATGCACAGTTTGTGATCTTATTCTTGGTGCAGTAAGGAAATGTACACATCTAATGGTTACTGAGCATGCTCAGTAGGGCTTTTCTCTGGCTGAGTATACATGCAGTGCTGTATGCTTGCCCATATACAAGTTTCAAAGCTGAGCCTTTGCACTGTGTGCAACTGGGTAAGTGTTATTGGATGTGTAAAATGAAATAGGATCTAGCCCTAAATGCCTGTAATGCTAATCTCTGGCTCAATGGGGGTAACCTTGTGACCTCAGTTTTTTGGCTTTTTTGACTTACAGTACTGCTATGGAGGCCCCAGCTGTAGCCCCAATCTGCCAACCATCTACAAAAGACAGTGACAAATATTCCCCCAGATCCTGATGCACACCCCTTATGTACTTATAGGTAGACACCAGGTCACCTCTGAGCTTGTGCTTTTCCAGGTTGAAGAGTCCCATGGCTCTCAGCCTCTCATCGTAAGGCCTCTTCTCTTACCCGCTGATCATGCTCGCGGCTGTCCTCTGGACTCTCTTAATTTTCTTGACATCCTTCTTGAATTGTGGAGCCCATAAATGGATGCAGTACTCCAGCTGTGGCCTCCCCAAGGCCGAATACAGTGGGAGGATAGCATCCTGAGATTTACTTGAGAAGCACCTATGGATGCAAGCCAGAGTTTTGTCTGCTTTACCAGTTGCAACATCACATTGGTGGCTTCTGTTCATCTTGTGGTCAATCCTGACCCCTAAGTCTCTTTCAGCCGTGGTGCTAGTGAGTGTAGCACTGCCAAGCCTATAAGCATGCTGCAGGTTTTTTTCTCCCCAAGGTGGAGTACTTTGCATTTTTCGGTATTGAACATCATCAGGTTTATATCCGCCCACTTACTAAGCTTATCTAAGTCAGCCTGGATCACTAGCCTATCCTCAGGTGTAGAAGCTATGTCCTAAAGTTTAGTGTCATCAGCAAACTTGGCCAGTGTGCTTCTGACACCAATGTACACATTGTTGATAAAGATGTTGAAGAGAACTGGTCCAAGGACAGAGCCTTGGGGGACACTTCTGGTCATGGAGTGCCATAATGATTCACTTCCATCAGCTACTACACTCTGTGTCTGACCTTGGAGCCAATTTCCCAGCTATTGGACTGTGGTATAGCTGAAGCCACATTTGGCCAATTTTTCTATGAGGAGATCGTGGGACACCAGATCAAAGGCTTTTTTTTTTTTTTAAGTCCAGATATATGATGTCAATCTCTTCTCCCTTGTCCAGGTGATATGTCACCTGGTCATAGAAGGAGATGAGATTGGTCAGGTAAGACCTACCCATGACAAACCCATGCTGGCTGCCTCTCAGGATGTTGCCATCAGCCAGATATCAAGAAGGATCTCTTTGATAATTTTCTTCAGAATCTTGCCAGGGATTGAGGTCAAGCTGATTGGCCTGTAATTCCCAGGATCTTTCGCCCTTTCTTGAAGATGGGTACCACATTGGCCTTCTTCCAGTCTTCAGGTACTTCACCTGAGCACCACGAGTTTTCAAATATTTTTGCCAATGGTTGGGCTATGACACCTGCCAGCTCCTTGAGTACTCTAGGTTGTAATCTGTCAGGACCAGCTGACTTGAAGATGTCCAGCCTCTCAAGGTGTTCCTTTACAAGGTCTACACCAATGCTGCATATAAATACTCCCTCACCCTGGTTGTCCCGCATCATGCTAGGCGGGGCGGTGAAAGACGGACACGAAGTACCCATGAAGCAGGTTGGCTTTTTCCTGGGTGTCGGTTATCAGTTGTTCCATTTGGTTCAGAAGTGGTCCAATGTTACCCTTGGTTTTTTTTCCAACTCCCTACATATCTGAAAAAGGACTTTTTACTATCTTTGATATGAGAAGCTAGATGGAGTTCGGTTGCAGTCTTGGCTTTCCTGGTCCGCTCCCTGCAGGCACAGGCCAGTACTGAGTACTCCTTCTTGGTGGTTATTCCAGTCTTCCATCCTTTATAAGTCTCTCTCTTTTTAGTCATAGGAGGTCCTCAAGTTCTCTGCTGAGCCAAGGGGGTTGCTGTGTCCCATCTTCCTTCGAGATGGGATGGACAAACCTTGTGCTGTCAGGATAGCTCCCTTGAGGAGCAACCACTGCACTTGGACTCCTCTTCTTTTTGAGTCATGAGGGCATTAAAGCATCACATGAAAAATGTGCAAATACCCTAATACACAGTAAAATAGGTTACTGTGCATTAAGGGTCATTAAAAAGGGTGCACTTTTGCTACTATGTTTGGGTAGCCCAATGCACATTTATTTAGTAGCTCACATTGTGGATACTAAATTTAATGCGCATTAGGACAAGCATATTAAGGCATGTGTAGATGCGCTCAGTCAGAATATTTTGATACTGCTTTTATTAGTCTTTTTCTTCACAAGGGATAGGGTTATTTCATAGAGGCAATGCAAGTGAAGATAACCTACAGATTAAATGAATGGACAGGGCTAGAATTTTGAAAATGTGTGTAGAGATGGGGAGGTACATCATCACATATAAAACAACATATATTTTTGTCCATTTAGGAAAAAAAAATACTAGTTTTACTAATATGCTAAGGGCATACTGCTGTATTATTCAGTTTAAGATTTATTTAAAGTAAAAAATACAATTTTCTCTTCTCCTCACTCTGTTTTGATTTGGTTGAACAAACCAAACTCTTTGCTGACCATTCTGGCTAAAACAGACAACCAGTTTAATCTGGAATTGATTCATTTGAGGTTTGACTCACATCAAAATGGGCGGGGACAGTTGCATAAGATTTAAATGACAATTAACTCAAATTAGTCATTCTGAGGCAGTGTCTATTAGGATACTTCACAGGTACTTAATGTGGGACAATGGGCTTGTCCATCTGTAAGACCTGGAGTTTGCTGTGAAAGAAAACACTCACATCTAATTCAAACTGGTTACCTTTTTTTTAGTCTCTGCGGATCTTCTTTGTACATGTTTCAGTTTGCATTTTGTTTCTTGAACATAAGTGACCAGAACT